TTTCTGTGCACTGCCTTTGTGACGTTCAGCAATGTTGTCTTTGTCTGTCCCGTCTTTGTCACTACGGAAACATAATGTCTTTGTTCCTCTGTCCTGTCCAGTTTCCACCGGAGAGAACCAGTCGTCCCAGATCCCCCTCCACATCATCATCCTGGGGGCGGTTGGCGGAGTGATCCTGACAGCTGTGAGCGTGTCTCTGTGTGTCATGTGTCACCTCCGCCGCAAGGAGGCGCACAAACGGCGGGAAGACACCAGGCACCAGGCGTCACAGAGGAACGCCTTAGAGATGGCGGTGTGCAACAGCTCCAATACCACGATGTCTCTGTCACAGCATGATAGGACTGCTGGTGAGTGGTGGGAGGTGAGGGGGGTTCTTTGTGGTTGATAGTGTTTTTGTGGTGATTGTGGTGGCGGTGGTGGTGAAGTGGTGGTGGCGATAAGGCGGTGGGGCTGATTATGGTGGGGATGAGGTGATGCTGATGCACGTCAGATTCAGAGATGCTTTTCCTTTATTGCTGTAAACTACTATCCTGTAAATCCAAGACGGATATTGAGGCCCATGACTCCACGGCTTTTATACCGTACTTGATCAAAGTAGCAAACGTAAATTAATTGACAGATAGGTTGTTGTCTCAATCGCGAGCTCCGTGTCTCAGACATGATCTACCTGTGTCTCAGACATGATCTACCTGTGTCTCAGACATGATCTACCTGTGTCTCAGACATGATCTACCTGTGTCTCAGACATGATCTACCTGTGTCTCAGACATGATTTACCTGTGTCTCAGACATGATTTACCTGTGTCTCAGACATGATCTACCTGTGTCTCAGACATGATCTACCTGTGTCTCAGACATGATTTACCTGTGTCTCAGACATGATCTACCTGTGTCTCAGACATGATCTACCTGTGTCTCAGACATGATCTACCTGTGTCTCAGACATGATCTACCTGTGTCTCAGACATGATCTACACTATAACATGATCTACCTGTCTCTCCCACAGCGCCCAGTGAGCGGAACCACCACATGGGCTACCAGCGAGCCGCTCAGACTCCGCCCGGCAAGGGGAACAACCCACACCGGTACAGCATGACGGGAGACGGTGACGTCATCCCAGACCAGATGACCGAGTCCGGCAACTACAAACGTTTCCTGGAGCTAGGCGTGCCGGGGGAGGAGAGTAATGTCCAGCCGGGCTACCCGACCCACATGTTGGGACTGACCACCCTGGAGTCTCACCTGTACCCCGGCTACACCACCAGCCCCCAGTGGCAGAACGAGGACAGCTACCCGTACGGGAGTCTCAACAGAACCACGCCGTTCCTTGGACTGTCCAAACCTCTGCCCTACTCGCCGGACGGGAAGTACCACAAGTCAGGCAAGATCCCGGACAACGAAATCACGCGTGAGCACAGCGCCACGTAAGATCCCAGCCCTTGAGCTCACGACATTAGCAGCACGTGTCACCGCCCTCTTGTACAGGACTTTGTATTTATGTGCTTCATGGTTCTCCCTTCCTCATGGGAAATACAAGAACCTTTGCAGCCATATTTATAGGGAGGCTATCATGTACAGCAGGGTGAAAGTAGGACTTCAACAACAACGGAACGTTTGTGGACATGAGAGTTTACTGATGCCAGTGGGAGAAGTTGGGACCCCCACTTTGACTCCTTCTTCTTTGCTCAACGTTTTAGAGGAATTAACCAATCATTTTGTGACTGTAGGATCGTAACTACGGCTTTTATAATATTATGTTTTGCTTTTCTCAGTTTAGTTTGGAATGATGCTTTAACTCCTTTCTAAAGCTATCACACACTGCACTAACCAACTGAGAACTACGGCAGCTGCACGGGGAGAGAACGGTAATCTGTGTGTGACGTAACCCACCAGTCACCTCAACGGACTCTGTGTAACACTGGTGCCGGGGTGAGGGCTGATGCATGATTGTGGCCATGTCAGTTCGCTCGATTCTACGAGGTGAAAACGTTTCTTTGCGCAGGTCTTAAGTCGTTTGTCCCTCAACTGTTGCAGCCCGACCTGTCAGTTTAGCCACGAGCACACCACAAGCTGAAGTCGTCAATGTAGCTTCGACAAACGTCAGACATGGGTTCATGTGTTGAGTCCCCGGAACTTGACATTGTTTCAGAATGTCACCAGGTACGCTGGGATGATGATAGATCGTAAAGT